ACATCTCTGTAAAAAGAAATTATTAGTGGATATATCAAGAAACTTATAACTTATGTTGCTTGACTTCTTCAATAATGTCAAGGGGTGTGTATCTAATTCGCCAAAACTAGTGTATTATTGGAGAGTCCGACAAGGGTGTGGAATCAAAAGTGAAGAATCCACGAAACTTAGCTTATAGCCGTTGTGAGTTTCTAAATATCGCATAAAGTGTTTCTATCTTGAAAACTTGTTCTCTCTCACCATCATGGTGGCATAAAACAAGCATCCAAAATACTTGTGTGAGCAACTACAGGTGGTCTTCTGTATAACATTTCATAGGGTGTCTTGCTATAAAAAATCATAGCAATTAGCCTACTGATTATATAAACAACAATGGTAATACACTCTTTTAGAACTTAGTTGCCATATGTGCTTGAAACTTCAGAGCTTTGTTTGTATCTATTCTCTCTCTACCGCTCTATTTTTGTTGGGGAGATAACCAAAACTACTTTGATGTATGATTCAATAAGCATCAAACATATGAGTGCATTGCGTATTACGGACCTCCACTCCCATTGTCTGGTTTAATAATCTTTAGTACAATATCAAACTGTGTTCTCGACATAGAATGATAAAAATAATCTTATGTAAGATTACAATAACATCACCTATGTATCTGCAGCAAATGTATCCATGTATTTCTAGAACTGTCATCAACAAGTATCAGAAACAATGCTTCCTATTATGAGCAGGAGATTAATATGGCCCAAACATCTATTTGCAAAAGATGTAATGGTTTATCACTTCTAGTAGTTCTCCTTGGAAATATCAGTGTACTTTGCTTAGGTAGAGGAAAAATAGTTCAATCATTACTCACAGCCAAATCAACAGTTTTATGCTAAAAAACATTACATTTTTCATTGTATTAATAGAGGCATGGAATAATCTTCTATGCCAAGACTTCCTCTGTAGCTTCCTGGACTGTTGTAGTAGACACATGCTTCAATATTCATTTTGTATGTGCACCTTCCATATTTACTTGATGGCTTGATGCATAGTATCATCCTCCTTCTGCATGTTCAGAACTTGTCTACATCAGAATTGTCACTGCTGCTTTTTAATTTATGTATTTGTGCCAACTTTTCATTTCCAAAGGTACCAGCCACATAATGAGTTGCATATTGCCTTTTTGACTTGAACTCTGCTTATCATCCTACAAATTTGTAGCAGTTTTCTTTCAGATGACCTGTTTCGTTACAGTAATGACAGTCGTGTATGGTTTCTTGCCATTATAAGTTTTCTGACACCTGTTTCCACAACAACATTATCTCCTTTACTTCCTAATGCTGGGAAAGGACTAGACTTCTGACAATTATCCTCAATTATTATTGCATATGTTTGATTATGTGTCATTTTAGTAGTTTTTATTAGAATCTGGCTCCTCGCTTGGTTGTAGGAGTTATTCAATCCACTGCGGAATTGAAGTAACCTCTGTCTATGCAAATGCACCATATAATCCTTTGAGTTTGCATATCCAAATCCTGATGATGGCACTAATGCATCATATTTTGCTCAAGTTTCCTTAAAGTTGGTAAAATATGTTGCGACAGAATCAATACACTGTAAAAAATCGTTACAATTTCCCTATATAAATGAGAAATATGCACTCGATTAATCTTATCAATCTCCTTAATATCTTCCCACACTAGATTAGTATTTGATGCGTAAATTATTCTTCTAAGAACGTACTTTGGCACCGTACTGATGATCTAGGAGAGTTCAATTGCATTGCATGTCTCTCGTTCCTCGTGAAATTCTATTTTGAATGAACTTTTGTTGCGAGTATTGGTTACAAACCACAATTTTCTCTTAGTTTGAAGAGTAATTCGCATCGATTGTTTCCAATCCATAGTTTTCTTAAACTGTGAGTTGTGTCGGAATTAAAATCAAATCAGGAGTATTAGAAGGATGCAGAGACACTGGGTCAAAACTTTTCATAGCCAGCGCATGACGAGTTTCTTCTGCTCTGCTACTATGTGACTTGAGCTCGAGCTGAAGTTCTGACTAAGAAATCTTAAGTCAAACCCAAATGTGTGAGAGAAGACAAGCGAGAGAAAAAGAAAATATCTTGGAAAAGTAAATCGTGATTATATCATCAAATGAAGTGATCACATTTTCTATATATACACATCTCCTAAGCATGACTTATTTAACTAATTCCTTGAAGTAATTGTAACTAGCTCTAGCAATTATTGACACCTGGCTAACCAGAGTTCTAACCTCTTAGCCACACCTAAATATGGTTTATGTACAGTTTTATTTAACAAGGTTGACGCCAAGTAGTTGTTGTTGGTTTCACATTGGGTTTCCACGATATAGGGACTTAGTGAAGAGAGATTGATCAAAATGCCTAGAAAGGTAGCAAAGTGCCTATTTTCCTTGTTCTTTTTTTTTAAAAAGTAACATTTGCATATCAATCATCAGCTTAAAGATCGTATCCAGAATTTTTAAATCATATCCTCCCTCCGCACTTGTTTTGTCTTGGCATAAGCAAAAGATAAAGAAAAGGAAAGAAGAAAAAGAAAACTTTCTGTCGATCCTTCTTCATATTTATAAGGACCCTAGAATGTTTACAATAGCCATAGGGTCATCTATATACTCTGAACTACGCTAGTAGCAAAAAGTGATAATGCAGTTCATTTCAATCTTGTGCAAAGGGCTGCTTTTGTTATTAAAACTCCTAGAATTCCTTTCTTTCCGTATTGTTCACCAAATAACTGCTTGGACAATTTTCAATCTACTCGTCTGTGCTTCCACTGCCCTCCGTATTCCAGGTTTCTAGAGCCTGTCCTGTTTGTCCTTTTGAATATATTTTTTTTAAATGGGTAACTTGCTAAGTGTCTTTTTCTCTTAGAAGGAAAGTTTGACCGTTTGAGAGTCTTAAAATGCAGTTTGAGTTATCTTGGATAGAATATTTGTTCACTAATTTAATAGTGTTTCCAGATGCATACCTAAAGAGATGATATTGTTGAAAGCCTTATTGTCCTGCTATGTGTGGTTTTCAATTTTTAAATGACAACTCCTTTCACAATCTCTTCAATTGAGGCAGGGACTTGATTTTAAGGCTTTGATTGTTCCGAAGTCACAGGCAGATTTCTCGGTTATCAAAAAAAGGCAGGGATTTAATTTATATCCTTGAAGTTGGATGACTTGAGCTACTTGTTTTTTAGGGATCTAGAGATGCCTTGGCTGATACGTAATGTGCTCTTTCAAACACTTTAGCAAAGTTTTCCTTTGCCTACTGCTAAAGCAAGAGAAGATGCACTTTCATTCTTACACTCTAAACGAAATCGATGCCATTTTCTCCTGAGTTGAACAAATATGTAATACGATTTCTTAGAGATTGATTCAAAATTTGTACCTGTCCACCAACATGTTTTGACCACTGTTAATATGACTTTGATGAAATACGAAAGCTAGAACGTCAAAAGAACGTCCGATTCCAAAACTGTTGAAATTTCTTCTGAATTACAGGCCCAAATTCAGGCCTATTCATAGCTTCCTATTTCAAAGTTATCAAATGGTGTTTGTTGTCCATTTGAATAAGGTGGTATATTATTATGTATTCTACTTGCTTCTTTCCCTTGTAATTGATTTTATTATAGTGGACTCTTTCCTTAAAATAATAGCATATTTATTATAAATTCTTGGTACATGGAGCTGTAACCAGATAGTCAGACTTTGATTTGTGGCTAACAGAGTATTCGGATGAATTTTTGGATTCCCACATGTTGTAACATTTAATCTTATTTCCCTAGTCTTGCTCAAAAAAAATCTTCTTTCCCCGGATAATGAAGAGAAAAACAAAAGAATTGCCAAAGAAGATGGTAGTTCTTCCTTTTGAGCAAAGGTAACTGTGTATTCACTATGTACTCATCATCAAGGATAATGAGGAAGTCACTTACACCCAGAGGGCACCATTCCAGCTAAAAACAAAAGTAGACTAAGTGGTTGTACAATTTCCCTATGAAATCAACAAAAATTTCTATATCCCCTACTCCATTCTGTTTACACCAAAAATAAAGTAGATAAATACTATTTATCTTGATATTCTGCATGTTGTTGAATTTGTCTTCAAAACCTCTTGCATTTCTTTCCTTCAATAAGGTCCACCAGATTCATGCAAGTATCATTTCCCACCAGTCCTACGATTCTCTTTTTCCAATCCCTTTCCAACTGTTAGCATTCCTCAGGTAGTTTTTGGAATGTGCACTTTAAGCAAACAGAAGAGCATGTTCCACAGATTTTCCGTTGTTTTGTAGTGAAGAAACAAATGACTATTTAATTATGCATGCAATGTACACATAAAACACCTTGAGCAAATTTGTCACCTCTTTTCTGTAGTACGTCATGAGTTAGGAAAGCTTTCATACGCACTAACCATACAAAACAAGATATTTTTTGGGGGGAATTTTGGTTTTCAAGATAAGCTTCCAAGGCCATGTTGTGGACTGTGTATGGGTAGCTTTCTTGTTCCTGTAGCATGACTTCACAGTGAACATGCCCTTGTTGTGAAGCTTCCATATTGTTCCTACAGCTACATCAGATAGTCTAGGAAAGTTGTTTAGTGTCAACAGAAGACTTGCAACTCTATCAATTTCCCAGCCATATAATGCTTTTCCAAATATAAAATTCCTGCCTAGTGGGCTCTCCATACCTGGGCTATTCTGGCTCTTTTCTATTAACTAAGGATGAAAAAATCAGGATATAAAGTTTTTAAACACTCCTCTCCTATCCAAAGCTCCCCCCAAAATTCTATCTTCAAACCATTACCCACTTTTAGTGCTGTGTTGCTACGAAACTAAGGCCAAACTCTTCTGATTGTTTTCCAGACACTACAACCATAATTTCCCATAACTTCAATATTTCAGTGGTTTTGGAGGCCATATTTCTCCGTGATGACACTTTTCCATAAAGGTGAATCCTCAGAATAGAACCTCCATAGCCACTTTTGAAATAAGCATGAATTTTGCAGGCTTATCTTCTTGATTCCAAAACTTCCTTGCTTCTTATTAACAGTAACAACATCCCATTTCACTAGATTATTGCCTTTGTTTTCCTTTTTGCCATTCCATAGAAAGTTCTTCTAAGTTGATTGATTTTCTTCACAACACTTTTAGGGATGGCAAAATAAACTCATCATGTAGGAGTGAAAGGAATCCAGCACTGACTTACAAGTGTTAGTCTTCCTCCTAAAGACAAATATTGGCTTTTCCATCATGCCAATCTTTTGTCACACCTCTCCAGAACTTCACTCCAGATCTCATGTTTTTTATCTTAGCACCCTAAGGAAGACCAAGCTCTTTTGCCAATTAACATGTAGACCAGATATGCCTTCAAAATGGTAAGAATGGCCCTGATCTGTCGTATTTAAGAAATGTCAGCTTCACAAAAGATGAGGCAGTCATATACATATATAGCAAGTGGATAGTCCCATTACATTATCTCTAATGCCTTGAGTTTGAGCCTGGAAATCCCTCAACCAACCATTTGTGTTTGACCTCCTGGCATGTGGTTCAGTCCCTCAAAGGTTAAGATAAGCAAAAAGGAAGATAAGGGGTCCCTTTGCCTCAATCCTCTTTGGCACTGTAAAAATCCTTCATTGTTGCCATTAATGATTAGAGAAAACTCCACACTAGGTATACAAAACCTTAGCCAGGTGATCAATTTCCTCCCAAATCTCATATCTTGCAGTACTTTAAATAAATTTCCAATTGCCATGATAAGAGGTTTTATCACTGTCATGTTTGCAAAGAATCCTTGGAACCTTTTGCTTCACCCAAGATCCACCAATTCATTTGCTAAGAGTGAGGCATCTGTAATTTGTCTACCCTTCAAGAATGCCATCTGATGTGCATGTACCAGCTTCCCCACAACAGACTTTAACTTTTTTGTGATGAATTTGGAGATTATCTTGTAGACACCTCCAATCAAATATATCGGTCTAAAATATTTTAGCTCTTCTGCACCCGCCTTCTTTGGTATTAATACTATGAATGTAGAATTAAAGGATTTTTTCAAACATCTACTTCTGATGGAAATTTTGAATAGTCCCCATCAGGTCATCCTTTAAAATTTCCCAACAGACTTTAATGAAACTCATTCTGAAACCATTAGGCCCAGGAGCTTTGTGTGTATCTGTTTATAATACGTGTGATGGCAGTTCTTCCTTGGAATATGTGTCTATTTGTTTTGTGTTCTTTTGCAAATTTAATGTGAGTATTTGTTCTTTTTTAATACATTCTTTAATCCTCTGTTGGTGATAAACACACATGTTCCTCACCTTCTGTTCCCTTCCTCCCCCCCTCCCCAAACCAAATCATTCTTAGTATCTTTAAATAAAGTGTCCATGAGTTTTTTTTCCATATCCTATTTAATTAGTTGATGCAGAAGCACACACGTTTTTCCTAATACTGTATAACTTTTATTCCATGATTGAGGTGTGCTATTTTCAGTTAGTGACATGAAGGTGCAGTATTAATTAGCAATGGGCCTTATCCATTTGGTATTAGGTTGGGAAACTAGCTTCTGTTGATTGGTTTATAGCATACAACTTTTCATATATCTGGTTAAACTTTGCCTCGTGATATAATGGGATTTGTTTCCAGTTAGATTTACTATTGTAACGTTAGCTTATTTTTCCATCTGACAGATTATATGTTTACCTTTCTTTTTTTCTGGTGGGTTAGAATAGATTGCTTGTAAATAATTTGCATTGATTTACATTGGTAATTTTGCGTTCTTATGTATGACACCAAGTGTTTCCTTTCTTTCTTTATTCGTTAGAAGGGATCTATTGTTCTTTGCTATGTCAAATTCAAAAGGACCGTCTAGCATGAGAAATATGATGTACAATGGAAAGAGCTCTTTACTGCCTCCTAAAAGTCCATTTCCTAGCATATCTCCTTCATATGTAGATTTTTTCCCTAGTTCTGCTTTCAACCAAAAGGACAATTCAAAATCCAGAGATGGTTTCACCCCATCAGCGTACGTCTTCTGAAAGTTGTCTTATAGAGGAGGAACCATCTTGGTTAGATGATCTTCTTAACGATCCGGAAACTCCTGTACGCAGAGGTGGCCATCGACGTTCATCTAGTGACTCCTTTACATGTTTTGATGCTTCTAACATTGCAAACTTAGATTACATAGCTCAAGATGATAACAAATTCAGAAATTTAACTCATGCCCCTTCCTGGGGATCCCAAGACTTTGATTATTACCAAAATGCTCGGCATGCAACATTTCATGTTGATCAAAATTCCTCAAACCGATCGAAAAGTAAGGCAAGGGATGTATCTCCAAATGCAATACCACATCCCCGTGGCCTTTCCCCTTTTAGAGAAAATGTGAAGACTCACAGCTTGGGACCATCATGTCCTCCACAAGAAGGAGAGAGGCCGAAATATGCAGGAAGTGATCAGCAAGATTTAGTTGAATCTATCCCTCCTGATCCAAAGGGATCTGGTGAAAGAAATCTGCACCTGAAACTGACACGAAACGTGCAAAGTAGCAAGTGTAACTAGCTCAGATGCCCTAAAGGAAATAGTTGTAAAGTACTTTGTATAGTTTTTGTATATTGAAATTTGCAAGAAATCATAGTTCCTGTAGCAGCAGTAATTCATAGAATTCTTAGTTTCTGTTTATGGTATGTTTCTTTGTTTATGCTTTCATGAGTTGTCTATCATTCTGCTTTGTTTTTATCGCATGCCATACTATCAGTTTACTGGATGTTTTGGTTAGTTGGAGGATTATAACTAGGATAGTTGAGATCTATAAATGGGATTCTAACTTACATCAAGAATTAATCTTTTAGCATTTTTTACTTTTTTTGGAAATTGATTTTTCAGCATGTTGTTTTCTTTTGAATCTCTTAATAAATGCAGTGATAATAAGTCTTGTGATTCTGAGTCTATACCTTCTAAAACTTTGAAGATACTATACACTGAACAGGATTCGGCCTACAGCAAAAGTAGTAGCGTAGTCTATGCTCTTTGAATTTTTCGAGGGATGCCTATGGTGTTCCAATCTTACCAATCCATAGATATTGAGGAAAATAGGTGGATTTAACATTTAACAACATATCCGTTTATTTTTATACACACAGACACACACATATATATTTCAGGAACATTTCTTCATCCCTCCACCTAAACTTACTTGACTATGTTCTTTTTCTTTTCTCCTGAAGTTGCAGGACCCTTTTCCTAAAAGTAATATTTCCTATCTTCATCAATTCAATTTAATGCAAAGATATTAAGTTATTATTTTTGACAAAGATAAGTATATTAAATGTGAAGCACTAAGGGAAAGGAAGTTCTGGATTATGTTCAAGTGAGCAAAAAAACAAAAGAAAATCCTTTTCTAATCTTGTAGGGATTCTAATAGGTTTAGTATTGAGTCCAACTCATTGACAAGTTCCTCTTTACACAAAAAATAAAATAATCAAAATTCTGCAATTAAACTTGGCCTGTTTGATTTGATTTTATTTGCCTTCACAACATCTAGTAATGCTTTCCTTACATGTGGTCTGCAGATATACTAGATGGAATATATTCCACCACAATGACTTCTTTTTCCTGTTGCCCCTGATCAGATAGATTTGTCGTAGCTCGCAGTTACTTTACAATGTAAAAGAAGATTATTTACACTTTCAGCTTCCTTTCCATATAAATGTCATCTAGTACAGAAAATGTTACCCATTCTTTGGAGATTGTCTTGTGTCTAACATTCCTTCTTTGCCACCATCCAAGAGAAACAATCCACTTTTAGTGGGGCTTTTGTTTTCCAAAGTTTTCCAATGCAAAGACGTAACTAAAACTCCCTCTGTTTCAAATTATGTATCCTATTTTTACTTGATACAGAGTTTAAGAAAAAAAAAGAGACTTTTGAATTTAAAGATGTTAGATATACACCAAATGCCCTGTAATCTTGTGGTCTTAAACATGCCACGTGGATAGTTGGAATTAAAGATTTTCTTGAGACATTCTTTTTGAAGTGGACTGAAAAGGAAAGTAGGACAAACAAATTGAAATGAGGGAGATTTATTTTTCTATTTATGTGCATTATACTGAAGAAATTACTCCGCTATTGATGCACGTTAAATATTATTTAGTATACCTCTCTTACTAGCTTTAATGTATCAAATTACACAAGACATTTTCTTAATCTTCAGACCAATCAAATGTTCATTCATTGTCTAATTAGATTGGTTGGGCAGGGGGAGCATTTTGATATAGGTGTGGAAGAATATGATTGATCTTTAATTTATATGGGATTTGCCAACTGATTCACTTATCTGCTATTTGTGTTATTTAGTTGCACATTGCCCAGATGTCATTTAACATATTATGAAGTTTCCTAAAGAGAAGGTGCCATGTAATGCAGACACTTTGCCCAGCGGTCACGTGTTCGGAAGCTTCAATACATATCTTAACTGGAAAGAAATGTACAAGTTCTACAGGCATGTGAAGCTTTAAGTAATATATTCTGACAAATCAATGGATGATAGATGTTGTATTTTATTAGAAATGTTGATTTGATAATTTACTCAAGGTTGAAGGTTGTGAAGTGTATCCGGAGCTTGAATTCCTTAACCAGCAGAATCTTATTCTCAGCATGGAGAATAAAGCCCTAAAGCAGCGGTTAGAAAATTTAGCTCAAGAACAAGTGATAAAGTATTGTAAGTTTCTTTGCTATCTGTTATACTTTACTGTTGTACCTGTTATTTCGAGTGCTTGGACTTGTGTTATAAAGTAGATTGACATATATAATGAGTCGTAACGTAAATAAAGGTTGACTTAGGTTCATATGAGCTGGGAAAGTGGGTTTTGTTTTCCTAAAACTGAATGCACATTGGAGGAATGGGGATACCTTGTGGTAATTCCAGAAACCACTATTTTTTGTGGATAAATTATGTCCTGTAATTCTATAACTACAATGAATTTATGATTTTCTTATAGCTTATTTAGAGGTGTATATGCAGTGGCATACTTTATTCTTACTGTCTATCACTTTTTTTAAAAAAAACCCACAAACATCTGCTTATTATAAAAGTTGTTTTAACTTTGGAAAATAATGTTGGAAATAATAACTATTAAAAAAGCAGGAGAGTTATTGGAGTTCATTCAACCCAAACTATTGTGCTTCTGGGAGATGACCAAAGTTGTTATCTGTTATTCCAATTGATGACAGAACTAGGTCAAATTTGAGGAACCCAAAAAAAAAATCCATTGCAAAATAATCATTGGTTTTTAGATTCTATTCTGAGGTTTGGGGGGGGGGGTTCCCTCTTTGTGCTTTAGGCCTCCAACATTAGAACATTTACCTTTAGAAGAAAGTAAGAAACAAAAAGAAAAGTGGCTACCGTCCTGTTATAACTAATAAATAATGAGGTTATATATAATTTAATAGTTTACTGTTGGCTCTCTGCTTAAAGGACATCGCAAAATCTACCTTTACTAAATGCATTTGAGTAATTACACTTATAAATTTTTTAGAGGCTAACTTTTACTTGATCATGGCTGAAGAACTTTCGTAGTTTAAGTATGTACAGTTCAAATAGGAAAAAACTTTTGTTTTTTGGGATAGTGGGTGAGTAAAAAAGTAGCAACGTTTTTATTTTGGTGAAAGCTACTACTGATAATGTAGTAGGAAGTTCATTTTATTATCTTCTTGGGGAACTAAAGCGTGTGAATATTGTGCATAGTGGAGCATGAAGTCCTAGAAATAGAAAGAGGAAGATACGAGTATTATATCAGCAACACAAATGCCACAGTCGCAGCAATCATCTTCTAGCCATCGGCGCACCAGCAGTAGGGATCTTGATCAACAATCTGCAGACCTGTGTTTGAAACAGAAAGAGGGGATGTGAGTGTAGGTAGGAGGTAATTTTATTGTGCATGACATGATAAAAAAAAACTCTTGTCAACGACTTTGTTTGTGATATTTTTATGTGCACCTGATGGTCAATGCTTGGGAATAACATTTGGTGGCAGTTGACTCACCTGAGGTGATAAATCTGTCTGTTGTAAAATTTCTCAGCCATTTGTTCCATCATTTTTACCTTGTTGGGGTAGATTTTCATGAACATTGAATTGTAAGCATCATATGGACCTTATTATTTCCTTTCTTCATTTATGCTATGAAAGCATTCTGTTTTCCCTCTTGTTAATGGTACACGCCAAAACCAAAATAAACAAGAAATTCAAGTTTGAAGTAATTATTACAGCCATATTAGATCTTCTGGATGGGGAAAGTGAATTCTCTGGTAGGATATACCAACAATTATATGAGTAGACACTTCTGTATAAATATAAATACATTATAAATGGTCCAGTCTTAAGTCAATATCAATTATGGCATATTTAATAATTTACATTCATAGTCATTTTGCATCTTATGAATAGACCATCTGTAAATATGCTAGTGATTTAAGGTATTCCAAACTCTTCTTTCATAAAATTTTCAAATCAACCATTCTATAAAACATAGAGAGCATATGTTAACTGGGAGACTATGTTTTTTTCCCCTTAAACTGAAGATTCCCCATATAAACCATATCTAAATATCTGACATAAAAGAAGACGAAAAATTAACATCTCACCCATATTTAAGAGGATAAATATCAAATTGTAATCATACTCTTTAAAAATGAACTACTTATAACATATTATTATCATCTTATAGCACATCAATAATAATATATTAATTAAAAAAATATTTAAAAATAAACAATTTATAGCATATTATAATCAAGTTATAACATATTAACTAACAATATATTAATAAAAAAATTTATTATTTAACTAATAATTATTATGTTTCAATAATCAATTTCATTTATTCACTTACCTTTTATCAACAAAACCTTTTAAATTATTATTGATTAATCAATTACCTTTTAAAGTATAAATAATAAATTATTAAATATTAATCAATTACCTTTCAATGTTTTTAATATAAATAATAAATTATTATTTATTAAATATTAATTAAACTTCATATTATGTAGTTACCTTCTAAAAAATAAAATCTAAAAATTAGGAATTTGATTTTAATTAATTTCATATTATATGGTTTCCCAATAACTACCCACCCCCATATCAACCAATATACTTTTATCTTTCTCCAATATACTCAACCTCTCCCATATTTACATGCTTCTCTTTCTACCATATTAATTTTGCACATCTTTTTTCACGTTTCTCTCTCTATTAATCAATTGAAGACAGCACATGCTTCTCTCTCTATTAATTAATTAAAGATAAAAATCCATTCAAGCTTTAAACTTATTTTCCAAAATCAAATTAAGATTAAAATCCTTATTTAACAACATCTCTATCAATCTTTTACAAAATTAGATTTTTTATTTTTCGACCATCAAATTTGCGATATTGCGTGATTTTTTGAAAATAGCGTGTTGTATAGATCATCAAACAGGTTTATTTCTTAAAGTTTTTATTTTTTTCTCTGATTCTTTTGTCAAATTATTTAATTTTTACATGTTGTTGCTTGATTTTAGGAAAAATTTACATTGTGTAGATAATGCAGGTTTCTTCAAGTTTTATATTTGTTTATGTCAAATTCTTTAATATTTATTTTTCTATAAATTTTTAGGATCTAGGTTGTTGAATACAGTGTATAAACCAAATACCCTAAGGAGA